GGTCTGGTCTGGTCTGGTCTGGTCTGGTCTGGTCTGGTCTCGTCTCGTCTGGTCTGGTCTCGTCTCGTCGGGGCTCGTCTCGTCTGGTCTCGTCTGGTCTCGTCTGGTCTGGTCTCGTCTGGTCTCGTCGGGTCTCGTCTCGTCGCGTCTCGTCTCGTCTCGTCGCGTCTCGTCTCGTCGGGTCTCGTCTCGTCGCGTCTCGTCTCGTCTCGTCGCGTCTCGTCTCGTCGGGTCTCGTCTCGTCGCGTCGCGTCTCGTCTCGTCGGGTCTCGTCGCGTCGCGTCTCGTCGCGTCGCGTCTCGTCTCGTCGGGTCTCGTCTCGTCGCGTCTTATCAGAGTCTGTCAGACATCCTTCTTCCAACATGTGTCCTCCTTTAGACATGTCCAAACCTTCTCAGTCTGGTCTGTCCTCCAGCTCGTGTCTTTTTGTCCATGTCTCTGTGAGTCTCCTGTCCATCTTTGCTGAACCTTTTCCTGGACGCTGCACCTCTCAGCTCGCACCATCGTGTGAATGATTGTGTGATGGTGAAAAATGTCTTTAGCCTTTAGTTCCTGCACTTGAAGCACATTTGTGACCAGCTTGTCCTCAGATGGACGTCCTGCTCAGAGGAACTGAAGCTGCAGTTTTTGTGTTTATCTGTCCTGTGGAAGCTTCCAGCTGCAGCTCAGCCATCAGCRGTGCACATTTATCCTCAGGTGTTCTGAAACATTTGTTTTTCTCCTTCATGTTTGTGCAGCAGAAACGTCTCTGAGGAGGTTCTGATTAGATTTGATGATTTCAGCCGTCATCACCGTCCATGGATAAATTAACCGGAGGCCAGAGCACAAAAGGGCAATTCCACGTGTCGTCTGCTGTCGTTACGCTGATTTATGAGGCCAGACTCAGCCGGCCCATCTGAACAGGTACCAGAAGAGTCCAGCAGGACCAGCATGCATCAGTGTGGAGCTGCAAACACACACACCATGATGGTGTCAGGTGGTGAGSACACACAACAGGACAACAGGTCAAAATTACTGTCTGGATTTACTTTTCTTTGCATGAAACACAAAGTCATGATGAAGAAATGAAAATACAAGAATAAAACTCTAAATAAGACAAGATCAGGTAAAGAAACAAGAAGAGAAACTGAAAAACAAAAGTAAGTTTTTATGTTTAGGACCATTTCAATCAGTTAAAATAATTAAAAAACATTTAATATCTAGTCAGGATTCAGTTTAGGTGATCTTTTTCAGACATCCTCTGTGTTTGGTGAAGATGCTCCAGCAACTACCTGATAACACTCCATAAGTGAGGTGTTTCCAGCCCTGTGTCTGCCTGCAGCTGCATCAGATCATTCCTCCTGGTGTTACATTTATTTTAACTTGTTAAAGTAACTCTGCCTGAACGCTTCAGCAGCTTCCATCCTTCCTGCTCGTCTTTATTAAAAACACCAGGAGTCATTTTCCAGCCCTGAACCTGCTGCTTTGTGTTCGCTGCGTTCACAGACGTGGCCCGGAGGCCGTGACACCTGCACCTTTCTCAGGTGGAGATAAGGTGTTTGTCAGGAGGTGAGTCAGCTCTGCAGCCTGTCTGTGGCTCAAAGCTGTTCGTCTCCTGAGCTTTTAATAGAAGCTGACGCCAGGGCGTTGTAGCAGCACCGCTGCAGGACAGAGGCAGAGCTGGGCCAGGATGAGCACCAGCAAACATTACTGGAAGAGCTACTTCTTTTTATATTCAATCAATCAATAGATTTATTCACTCAGTTCAACTA